AAAAGACAAAAGCAAAAATCAATTGAGAAACCCTTTTTTTTTTTTTACTTGTTACTATATAAAGTCCATAATCTTTTCTTCTTTATTGTGACGCAATATGTGCCAACCATCTTCTCATACGCATACAATGAGAAGCACTTATCAACAAAAGAGAAGCTTTAAGGGCTTAATTATTATTATTAATATTATTATTTATTTTATAGCCATATTGATATATAATCAAAGTTTCAGCCAAATGGTGCCTCCTTGCAAACAAACACAGCAAACCAGAAGTTTCTAATTAATTAATTTTAATTAATCACAATTGCGATTTTTACCAGAAAAAAAAAAAATATATATATATATAGTTAATTTTGCTGTTATCAACTACTGGAACTTTTGATTTTGATAGTAACAAGCCAGTCTGAAACGAAATGGTCTAGACTGGTGCAATCACACTCCTACCTGATTGTGTGCCTAGAACGCTGCTGTCAGTAGAAGCCTGACCTGGTCCAGCTCCAGGAGGAGGCAGTGCAGCCCTGGGAAACTGCTGAGAACTCATCTTGTGTCTATTATCTGTGAGAAAAGACCAATTCTAGTTGAACAGTTTTAATATCTTACTATACTAAAGTACAAGGACAAATATCACAATTCAAAAAGAACTGGAGAGCAGACTGTGCTGTGAAAAATCCTGCTTTCTGCAGAGTTCACTATAGTTAACTATTCTCTTATCTGTACTTTTCAAGCAACCCCTGAGACTTAAAACTCATGATTATGGTGCGTATAACTAGGGCTCAATGTAAAATGCACGATGGTGGGTCCATTCATAAGCAGGGTTTGGGACCCCAGCTCTAGAGTCCAGATGTATGATAGTTCAGGTGGAGACACGGACCACAGAAATTATTTGCAAACAAAGCACATGATCGAATAAAACCAACAACAAACAAACTACGATCGCCGCATTACACAGACCACACGATTCGCTCTCTTTTACCAAGTAATATCCACCAATACTTCAAATATTCTTATTAAGGCGCGATAAGCACTAGCTGATGGCAATACCAGTCACTTTTGGTGCATTAATGTTTAATTCATGAAACGAAACAGGTTGCACGAGTAAATCTTACAAACAGCCAACAAGCCATGATAACAGAGCAACGTTAGATGTTATTGATCAAAACAGAGGCGTTATTGCTGGTTGACAAAAGCTAATGTGAATCTGTCTATAAAGTGCAGGTTAAATGCAGGAAGTATGAGGGTTCTTTCATGACAACAATATGGAAATGTACTACAAACACAAATATGACCTATGAGAAAAAAAGATAAGAAACATTGTAAATACTACCGTGCGTCTCTCTCTTTGAAGCTATTCCCACTCCATAGTGTGAAAACTGCATCAACCAAAAAGCACGAAATGGCGGACCGGCGTAAAAGATTTCAAAATAAAAACCCCATATATGAACCCCCATATAAATTTTTCTCTGTATATATTATTTGTCTTTACAAAAAAAAAAATATATATATATATATATGTGTGTGTGTGTGTGTGTGTGTGTGTGTGTGTGTGTTGCCTGACTTCCACGACAAAATAATACATAAATAAATCTACAATGTTCTATATGTAAATATGTATATGAATAATAGGAAATCAATCAATCAATCAATCAATAAAAACTAATTGCAAAAATGTGAAATGCAAAAATATAGAAGACTTGATTGAAGACTCTAAAGTTGATTTTTAATTCCATATTTCAAACTTTCTCCAATCATTCATTTCTCATTCATTTTATTTCATTTTTTTCTCTTTCTATTTCTATGTTGCGCAAAGGGAAAAAAATAGAACTACAGAAATAAATGAATGATTAAAGAAAAATAGAAATAGCGATAGAATGTATTTATTTGTTTCATTTATTTCTTATTTCTATGATATTATAGAGGAAGTATAAATGTTTTACCTTATATGTTTGTTTTCTGAAAAAGTTGTCGAAATACTCCTTTGTAAAGTGGGAATACATTTGTAGGTGGCTGAACTTTTGGTTATGATATAATTGCAGTTTGAACCATGCTTTACATAATTTCCCATCATATCCCAGTATTTCTTTTTTTTTTTCTCACTCAAGCCTTGTTCCAAAACACAGTGTGGCCATACTTCTGAAACTGTGTTGTTTATTGATTATTATATACTATTTATTTTAATAATGAGGACATGGAGATTGATTGATTGATTGATTGATTTTATCAAAAGCATTAAACATTATCAAACAGAAAGACCTTAAATATTATCATATTATAACAACATATTTTTCAACAATTCTCATTACAAATTTGTGAAGTTGGTACTTGGTGTGTGTTGCATTTTCAAATGCATGTTATAAGTAACCCACAATCACAGCACTTGCGGGGATGGAGTTTGTGTGGAACTGCAATTGCAAACTGAGCCACTCCAAGACACTGAAAATAACAGACCATGCATAAATGAACACAGTGCCACACGTCCAAACACTGAGGCTAAGAGTTCTTTTGTCTTTTGATAACTCCAAAGGTGTGGTTCTCATTTAATCCCCTGTGACTCCTCTGCATGTGCACGATTGAACACGGGGAGTCACCGGCTTTTTGCATAATACTGAAAAATCATACCAGTGTACTTTGAGGTCAAAATGTCTGATTTGCATGTTTAGTCTTGTACAGAACCATATTAAATTATTAAATATTTTTCTTGAATCATCATTGGAAGCTGGTTCTTATCGTTTTCACAGTGAAAGTGGGGTGTAACTAGAATTTAGATCAGCTGAAAATCCTTTTGTTCAGAGTTACATTACAGACTGCTGCAGACTGACATCAAACACCAACTGGATACCAGGAGGACAACCGATATAGACAGCCACATTCTGCAGAGAGAACATGACAAAATGAGCCTCAAAGAGCAAGAAAGGGAGAGGACAACAACAGAGTAAGAGAGTGAAGATGAGCATTACCTTGAGAACCATCCCACCGTTGGTCTACTGAAAACACTGTGAACTGCCAGTCTAATAATAAAAAAATAAACAAACACAAAACTAATATGCTCACATTACCAATTTCAAAACCAATCCAAAGCAAAATTAAGCCAAATGCCATCTGATTGCCAGTGAATAATCTGTGATTTTTCCTCTGAGCACAAGATGATCTGAACACTCAGGAAATTAATTACAGTAAAAACTGATGTTGCTAAAGGTGTTTTTGAGGTTAGGGTAAACTGCCTTATAGATTGCCTTATAGATTACACTAATTAATCACTTTTTTGTACTGAATGTGATTCTCTCCCATTTTGAATTTGCTTACAATAATACAAAACATACATATGTCTGTGATAAGTTTGTAAGTTTGTGTATGCAATTAATGATAAATCAATGTGATGTTCACACTGCCTTTTTATGCATGCATGCAATTAATGATAAATCAATGTGATGTTCACACTGCCTTTTTATGCATGCATGCACAGAGACACTAATCAGATGAAGCAGGAGAGCTGTAGCACATCATCTCAAATGTCACAGATTTGAATGTGAACAATTTAATGTTGGAAAACACAAACAGCAAACTCAGTCCTACAGTGACTTTGTATAGGTACAATGATGTATGTAGCATTGTGTATGTGTATACTTATGAGTGTGCTGATGGGCTTTTAAGAACACAGAAAGAGAATGAGGTAGAAGTCAAATCTATCAGGAAATGGGTGCTGTGTGAGAGTATCTTTTCATTTCTATGATAACACCTGACACATTTTTATATGCCAGGTAGAAATAGAAGTCTTTAAACACGACAAGAACAAACACATCATGACTATTGTAACTTCTATTAGCAATGCTACCAGAATAACTCACTGCCTGGGAGATGTCTATTATAGCTATTCATGTAGGCTATATATTTTTCTTTTAAGTTCTATTTAAATTTTTTACATTTATTGTATAATGGTAATGGTAAACTGTATTTGCAATAGAATTAAAAAGTGTCTGTCACCTTGTAAAGCACATTCTTGTACATGTTAGATGGGGCTCACTTTAGGATCTCCAATTACTTGAAAAAAGAAGGAGTGATACAAAACTCCACTCCAACGTAACTGCATGGTCAGCATATATGAAGATGTGTCCCTCTATGAGAGATGAATGCTGGAACTCGGTAGCAATCATAGCCGTTTGCGTGTTTCTGAACTGCTTACACTTCACATAATAGGCTTGTTGGTGGCACTTGGGCATCATTTAACCAACAATGATAGTTTCATCACACGTTAAACGGCATGCACTAGGCCTACGTATAAAATTTTCGGGATAAATAAATAAATATAAATATAAATATAAATATAAATATAAATATAAATATAAATATAAATATAAATATAAATATAAATATAAATATAAATATAAATATAAATATAAATATAAATATAAATATAAATATAAATATAAATATAAATAATACATACATACACTGGCTACATTTACATTTTTAACCGATACCGCTCCGCTTCACGTTGTCCAATGAGCTCAAGACGCACAAAACAGCAACGCAATTGCAATGCCATCTCAGACTGACAGATATAAGTAAAAAATAAACAGGTATTTTCTGAGTTTTGAGCTATAAATATAAATATAAATATAAATATAAATAATACATACATACACTGGCTACATTTACATTTTTAACCGATACCGCTCCGCTTCACGTTGTCCAATGAGCTCAAGACGCACAAAACAGCAACGCAATTGCAATGCCATCTCAGACTGACAGATATAAGTAAAAAATAAACAGGTATTTTCTGAGTTTTGAGCTATTCGCTATTGTTATTGATCACAATATTGTTGATAATTGTTGAGAGAAGGGCACTTTTGGTTAATTTTGGGAAAAGGGCAGGGGCTTGAACCCCCAAAACACCCCCCTCTGCGTGCCTGCCCACTAAAGCCCAGAGTTGGGTTGGACTAATTCTCAGCACGTTTTTGTATCTGTTCACATAAACACCACACACTAATAAATGAGGTAAAACAATAATATTGAATTAATCAGTGAAACAGTCGTGATCTGTTAATTAGCCTAGTGTAATTGTGAAATTAAAATAAAATCTTATGAGTTTATAAAATGAGTAGGTCTATGTCTTACTTTGTCTGTCTTACAGAAAAATTGGGGACTTAAAAGTTTTTTTTAACTCTCAGACAAGGCGTTATCATGCCAACAAAGTTTACTATCAAACTTTTTCAAAAACCCGATAGTCCTTTCACTTTAACTATAAAATAAGACAGCTGCTCTAAACAAGTGGTTCCCAACCTCTAAAGGGAACCAACTGTCTTTAGAAAAGTTTCGATGGCATTTTCTTTTCATCTTCCGTAAGTATACTGCCTTTTATTTAAAGGGGTCCTATACTTTTTCACTTTTTCAACTTTAGTTAGTCTGTTATGTTGCTGTTTGAGCATAAAAAAGATCTGCAAAGTTACAAAGCTCAAAGTCCAATTCAAAAGGAGATATTTTATTTAACAGAAATCACTTTTCAAAAACTACAACGAACGACTTGTTTGGACTACAACGCATATTTTCCAGGTTTTGTGATATCACAAATATCGACGAATGGGACGAGACCTAGTTGAGCTGCACTAGAGAAGGCAACGAGCGTTATCACTATGTCAGACACACGCTAGCTTTCCCAATGCAGACGGACTTAGAGTGGTTACAATCATCCGGGTTTAAATCGTGCTCAAATTGATTTGATTTTGAC